GGCCACTGCTCTCCAGTCTGGGCGACTGAGTGAGACTCCGACTCAAAAAAAAAAAAAGAACCTTTCTTCATGATCAGCTGACTGTCCACCCCATTTAGACCATCACCTCCCCAGAGCAAGCCCAGGTCTGTGTCGTTTCGGGTTGAATCTCCAGTGCCTGGCATACAGGAGGCGCTCAGTAGGTGCTTGCAAGTTCCTGGCTGGCCAAGTGCATTCAGAGCCCCTCCACGGGCAGGCGCTCCACTGGCAGGCAAGCCTGGGGCAGACAGGATGCCCACAGAGGCCGGAGGCCAGGCTGCCAGCCCCCGTGGGAAGTTCTGCACTGGCCTTTTTCCCATTGGATCCTAGGGGCTAACTTTTTTTCTGGTCTCCATAAGGCAACGGAAAGACAGGACTCTCGCTGAGTACAGGCCCAAGCCCCTTCTGCCATCTGCACCCCAGGGAGCCCTGTTTACCATGAACCTGGGATTCCAGGAAGACCAAGGGACATGTCGGGGCCACCTGTGTTGGACACAGACCCAGGCTCCATCCCTGTGAATTGTATAACCTTGGGCTATTTCACTTCTGATCATTCTCAGTTTGTCTGTCTATACAATGGACAGGAACTCATGTGGGCCTGAATGAGACAGCGCCTGGTTGGCAGGAAGAGACTAAACAAAGTCAGCTCTTTATTTTTATTTTTTTCCTGAGTCAGGGTCTCACTCTGTCACCCAGGCTGGAGTGCAGTGCCACAACTGCGGCTCACTGCAGCCTCGACCCCCTGGATCCAGGCGATCCTCCCACCTCAGCCTCCCAAGTAGCTGGGACTACAGGCCCATGACATCACGCCCAGCTAATTTTTTAAATTTTGCTTGTTTGTTTGCAAAGAAGAGGTCTTACAGCCGGGCGTGATGGCTCATGCCTGTCATCCCAGCACTTTGGGAGACTGAGGCAAGAGGATTGCCTGAGCCCAGGGGTTCGAGACCAGCCTGGGCAACTTGGCAAGCCCTCGTCTCTACAATAAATTGAAAAATTAGCCAGGTGTGGTGGTGCACGCCTGTGGTTCCAGCTACTTGGAAGACTGAGGGAGAAGGATTGCCTGAGCCCAGCAAGTCGGGGCTGCGGTAGCCATGAGCTTGCCACGGCACTCCAGCCTGGGCGACAGAGTGAAAGTTCGACTCAAACAAAAAGAAGAGGTTTTGCTATGTGGCCCAGACTGGTCTCAAACTCCTGGGCTCAAGCAGTCCTCCCGCCTCGGCCTCCCAGAGTGCTTGGATGACAGGCGTGAGCCACCCGCCCAGCCAGCTCTTTAGAATGTAAGCCCCTTGGGGTGTGGGTCAGACTGAGCCTGGCTGACAGTAAGTGCCAGGGATTTGTGAAATGAACAAAGTCATGTTCTTACCCCGTGGGAGACGTCACTGTCCATCACCAGCCAGTAGCGGGTAAGCGTGAGGACACAAAGGCCCCTAACGGTGACCTTCCTTGACCTACGAAGGGAAAAATCCCAAGGTTGAATCGTCACCTAAGTGACTTCTTCTCTCCTGAAGGAGTGAGGGGCTTCTCGGCTCAAGCAGTTCAGCTGTTAAGAACTCACTTGGCTTAATGGTCATCATTGTGATAAAAGTGCTGCATGACAATTCGCTTCTAGTCCTGGGGGTGAAATGACGGCTGGGCTCAGCCCGGGGCAAGGGCCCAGGCTGTGTCAGCTTTGTAAATAGCTGGGCCCTTTCCCGATTCAACTTCCCCTTCTTGGCCTTGGCAAACAGTTCTCTCTTAAAAGCGTCTTTCTGCAAAAGTCAAGGAGAATAGGACGGCCGACTGTATAGACTGTCTACCCCGAGCCAAAGCATACCGAGAAAATGAACGTGTGTTTCTCTAGAACTTTCAAAACAAAAGGAGGTTCAGTCAATCTTTTTGGGGAGATGGAGGTCTCACTCTGCTGCCCAGGCTAGAGTGCAGTGGCGCACTGATGGCCACCACCGTCCCAACCTGCTGGGCTCGGGCGGTTCTTCCGCTTCAGCCTTCCAA